CCCGCCTCGGCCTCCCAGAGAGCTAGGATTACAGGCGGGAGCCACCGCGCCCGGCCTGGTACAAATTTTTGTTTTGCTCTTCACTTTTATCATCTAATCACCTCATAAAACAAGAAGGGGAACTCTAGAAGTCTCTTTATACTCCAGGTACTCAAAAACCCAGAACAAACCCTGAAAGGCAGTGAGAATAAGCAGTATCTTTCCTCTTCAACTGTGCTACAAAGCATAAATAACTGCGGAATTATAAGATAGACCCCTAAACAATACAGAATCGTTAACCTTTACTGTGAACACTGGGCTACTACTCCACGAAAAAGAACTGCACAGCAAAGTTTAATTTTTAAAAATTTAGAGGAGTGGGGAAATAAAATAAGTAAAATGATAAGAAAGGCTAATCTCCATTCCCCTTAATTTCTATAAAGGGCACTAAAATTTTTTGAGGTCAAAATCCTTATTTTAGTTGAAGCTGAATGAAGTAAACAATTCATTACTTTTATGAAGATGACATGCAAAGCCACAGCTCAATTGCCAACCTCACTCCCAGTTCCAGAGGACACTTCCACTTAAAAGGTTTCTTAACCTGATATACATGTTCCAAGGAAACTGTTTAATGGACCTATTTAATGGCACCATTATTCTCCTAGATCCCTTAAAAATTGTCTAATCCATTCTTTTAATTTTTCCTTTTATCTTTCTTGTTCTCTTTTACTTCCCTACAGCTGGAAGTCTCCTTCATTCTTTATATCCTGCTGTCCTGTTAGACCAGATTTTTTGATAATTTCCTTTCTTAAATATGTCAAGTGCTTCCTGCTCCCCTTCCTGTACCAATCTCTGGTCTTTGCTAATATTCCTTTCATTATGCCCCTCCCAGAATTAAGGATTCAGAGATGGCACCGTAGTCATATTAGCACTTTAGAGCACACTGGATTAAGTCCAAATTCCTAAATCTAGTATTCAAAATCCTCCATTATCTGACTGCATATTTAGTCAGATTAATCTTTCACTATTCCAGCATAACCTCCTCATTGTCACACCCATACAATCAATATTCATTTCCCTAATCATAAAATCTACTGAAAGTTTTATACTTCAGGTAAAGCTTTCCTGTTCTCCTAGTTCACAAAATTGCTCAGGCTCATTTTCTGAATTCCTTATTAATTCCATCACACAGAACTTGATTATATACTTACTTTTGCCCTGATTTGAACTGTTAAGTCATTTCAGACTGCAAGTTCCCTCTTCCTCAACAACACTTACCCTTACAAGAAAGGCTCTTATCACTGAGTTTCACCTTGAGTTACTTACAACAGAATCCAGACAATTATATTTTCTTTCCTAAAATTCTTTTACTCTAGTCCTTTAAAATGGAAGAGACATTAGTCTATAATAGAAAATTAAGCTCCAGTAACTGCTTTTTGCAAACTCCATTAATATCTCTGAGACACTGAAGTACAGTGTACTTTTTTTCATTTCTAAAATGCTGACATTACTCTAGCCCTTGCAAGATTACCATGAGCAGTACATTAGGAAACATATTAAAGATTTTTAGAGTGGTAGATTCTAAGATGCTATAAAAGTAGGCAATACTATTAGTCCTGTTTCTTTAATGTTTGGTGGCCTCCAGAAAGTTACCCTATAATTCTAAATGTCTTCTTAGTAAGATAGGGTTAATATGTGCCCTGTTTATAATCTACATAAAGCAAATGAAATTGCACTTAAAAGTATTAGAGGCATCCTTCCCATTAAAGAATTCCTACATGAAGGGAAAATATAAATTAAATCCAAAAACTGTATTCGTAACTCCACAAACACTTCTGACAACCCTAACATATAAATATTGACTTGCCGATGTTTTCCCTAATTTTAATAAAAAAAAGTTTGAAGCCTAGTAACTATTTAAACACCTCAACACCCATCATTTGAAAGTCCTTTTTTGAGCCTAAGTGGTTGTTATATGTAGATATCTTAAGCTGCAAAAATAAGGACATAGCAGTTGTACTACAACTGGCTTACGGTCAGCAGATAAAAGTATTCACTGTGGTTTAAAAACCAAAAGCACTAGTGAATATTAAATTGCTTTAAGAAACAATAAAAAAGAGACACCTCCAGAAAAGCTTCCAGCATTCTCCTAATACTTCAACTAATTACAAATAAAGACAATTACCTCAACCTAAAAAAATTAAAACATAAAACTAAAAAGACATAATATATGAGCCTGGAAGCATTAATTATTCAACTGAGTTGATTTACACTAAAATACACCTGGGTACCACTGGTGAACAATATTAACTATGATCACAAAGGGCCATAAGAGGGCCCTTTATTTCTAGTAAATAAATGGTCAATGCCTACACACATTTCAGATTAAAAGTGGGTGGGACTCTCACTTGTTACTTACATAGGTGGGTAAGGTGACAATATCTAGAACTTACTCCTTTCCTCCATTTGATGACAAATTTAAAAATAACTAAAGGTAACAAGGTCCCACTAGTAGTCCCCTTCACTTGCCCACAAACCAAATCAGAATATTAACAACAAAAAAAAAACTTTCTGGAATGAAAGTTAATCGAAGGAAAGATGAATGGACAGCAAAATTTCTTCCCATAACTACCTAACATTTTCAAAACCAGCAGCAGTTTAAAATTGTCACCAAATATTTTTATGGCATGATTTCACAAAGTTCTATTGGGACAATTAATATACCATCCTAAAAAATGAGCAGGTTCACCTATTCATTTCGAAAAAATCCAATCAAAGAAATTAAAGGTAGCTTCTTTGTTTTTAACCTATTGCTCTAAAATCTCTTTCCTCAGAAGAACTAAAGCCTAAAGTGACCTTCTGATTTGACTGACTGGTTCCAGGTGTTTATACCATGAACTTCCAAAACGGACAAAATTCATTCCCTCCAGCACAGCCTAATAAGTGTTTTTAGTGTTTCCCCTAGTGACTAGAACCAACACAACAGCCGGAACGCGTTTGCCCGGGGCTTTTGTTTTCTTTTCAGGGTTTCACACTAACTCACTTCCACCCATTTCCACTACTACGGTAACTTTGGAAATATAACTCAAACCTTAATAAACGTTCTAGTACATTGAAGCCAGGGGATAACGTATTCTTTGTGACGTTTATTTTCAACCGCCCCCAAAAAATGAAAACCTTCTGATCTCTCTTTGCTGAAGGATGGGGTTGAGAAGAGAAATGGGACAAGGCCTGTTAATTTTCAGGTACCCCTTTAAGTTAGAGTATAAGCTGACTAGTTATTTTTAAAATACTGAGTCATGAAATTCGTTCAGTTATTTAAGATTAAAGAAAGAAGATTCCCCTCCCCTCCCCCCTTTTTTTTTTTACCGTAGAAACCTGTAAAGGAGTGGTAAGTTTTTAGATGAAAGGTCACAGGAAGAAAAGCATTAGAAGTTGATATAAGAAAAAAACCCAACATTAAGGAATCAGAAAAATAAGGCGTTATAGCATTTCCACATTCATTCTGAAGTGAAAGGAAAGTAGAAGGGACATTAAGGGAAAAGGGCTCCTTGCGTTGTTTTCCCCTCACAGCTCTCGTCTTAAGAACGCTTAAGGGTCGGTGCGGTCGTTGACTAACCACTTCATTAGGCTCGTCCCACCTTCAACCTCAAGGCTTTCGCCTTTATAGACGCAACGCCGCCGGTTCCAACAGAGACGCGGCCGCTCACTGCAATAGAGAGCCAAGGAGACACAGGCCCCAGCTAGTCCCACGCCAGCTTCTCCCCGCCCGGAAAACAGCCCCGCGCACTTTCGACCCCAAGACCCTCTACGATGCTCGGGGTCGCCAGAAATGCCACCGCAGGAAGCACCTACCACTATCCGGCCGGAGGGGAACTCCCTGCCGCCTCCTCCCGCCCCACCGCGACGGGGCCCCACACCTCGGAACAGAGATAAGGAAGCCTCAGGGCTGGGGGAAGGGATTACGACCCAGGAGTCCAGGTATCAGTCAGCCTCCAAAAAAAGGGTGAGGGGTGTTATCCGTAGTGCTTGGGGAAGGAGCAGAACCCAGAAGCCATCTTGGGATGTGAGGAAGCAATCGCGATGGCTCCAGAGGTTGCTCCCCCGGGCCCTCGCAGGACTCCCCACAACCCCGCCGGACCGCGCTCGTCCCCGTGAAACCCCGAGCATCGGGCCGCCGCCGAGACGGCTCCCGCGGCTTTGTACTCACTCTGCCCTCGAAGTTGTTCTCCTCTATATCACTCATGTCGGCCAGGCACTCCCCCAGAACTAAATAAGAGACAGTCTCGGCTCGAGGGCCGATGGCCTGATCAACCCGCTGACTGGACCGTGGGGAGGAGAAGAGAGTCGGCAACAACGGCCACTCCACTCCACTCCCACTCGGTCGCAGGCCCCAGCAAAATGGCGCCGGCGCCGCCAGAAACCTTCAGGCCTCCCCAGTGCGCGACGTCAGGGGGCGGGCCTCCCTGTGACGCCACGAGGCCCCGCCTCCGCGAGGCTTTGTGTCGGCTCGGCCTGGAGCGCGCGAGGGGCTAGTGTTCTGAGCCCGGTGCCTTGGAAGCGCATCCCTAACCTCGACCTCCACACTTCGGGCTCATAAGATCGCGTAAACCCTTTTGAAGATTTTAAGTCACCAGATGAGCTTTTATTGACCTTAGCCTTTCTAAATATTATCCAAGTGGATTCTGATATAAGGGAACAGAAAAAACTGGAAGCGTATATGGATTAATAATAGGCTATTGTTTTTGATGTTTTCTGCAGCCTATATCACTTTTCTTCAACGTTTGCCCTTTGTAGGGTAGAGCTAACACACGCACAGATGAGATTATAATGAAAAACCACAATTCCTTGCCTCATCCCTCTCCGCCTCCAGTCCCCCCTCCCAATTTTATTTTTATAATGCTTAGCTCCCTTCTAGTCTTTTAGGCTTAGGTATTTCCTTAAAGCTTCATATCCAAGACGTCCCAAATCGATCCACTTGGTTCCCAATCATGGTAATAATTTCTGAGATGACTTTGAACTTTAGTTGTATAATGCAATTTTTAAGATTAGTTTCC